AGACCTGCCTCGCCTCGCAGGCTCTGGGGCTGGGATGGGGTGGGAACCTGGTAAAAAATTGTTCACTTTCTATCACATTCCCTTGGCATGTTAGTTTTACTGTTGTGATTTTTTAGTTTTTTTATCTTAACATTTTAACTCTCTTGTAAGCTGCCCAGAGTCACTTGGTGAATAGATGGCCTTAGAAACTGCAGGAAGAAATAAATTATATAATAAATAAATATAAGTGCTAAACATTATGCTCAATAATAAACTGTGGGTAGCAAACCATAATAGCTAAGTTCACACAACATGCTAAGCCTAATTCAAATAAACTACACTATAGTTCAGGATGATGTCTTTATGTATACCTGCAAGACTGTCATTACAAACTTATTTTTAGAGACAAAGTCAATGTTGTTTCCTTGCTATACTTACATTTTTAAGCAGCGTTCTTTCTAAAGAGAGTTTGACTCGATGCGGGGGAGGGGGGCAGAAGTATAAGAATGGGAAGAAGCAATTAACATTTTAGTTTACAGACAACAGCAACTCTTAAATGGAAGATAAATTACAGGCACTCCTGACTTCCAGCTAGGAGGGAAATTAATTCACATTTCCAGCTACAAAGGTTTCTGATTTGCACCCCTGGCTGGTGACTGTAAATCATCTTTTAATTATTCTAGCCCATCTAGCCTGAGATCTGAAACTGTACCATTGCATTATATATCATACACATTGCTATGTTTAGGTTCACAGGGGAGTGTTCTTAGGTTCAGTATAGCCATTACCTTAAAGAAAGAAGCAAGCCAGCCAGCAGGAGTTATTAGATGTTACAGTGGCTTTTGAGAGGTATGTAATGCTTCCCTCTGTGGTGTTACAACTACACTTCGCAAAGCACAAGGCAGGCTGCTTTAGAGGGACTCAAGCAATTCAGCCTATGTGGTAACATCGTGTAGCTGGCTTGTTTTCAACCTCCTTTCAGCTTGTACTATCAGCTTACTTGGCATTCAGTGTTACTCAGGAAATTAATGATTTTTCACCAGTAGCATACTGCACAAGGCTGTTTTCAGACTTAAAGGAACAGTCTCTTGCAAAAGCCTTTTAGATGTATCATAATAACTGAAGCAGTTTTTGTTAGCGAAGAGATTCAAGAGTAGGAATGTCACCCATACCATTTTTTTAAAATGATTGGACTGTCAAATTGTCTTTGGCCATAAATTCAACTACCTTTCCTGGTTTTTGGTGTTTTGTTTGGGTGGTCATTTTGCAGCTTGGAAAATCTGTGATCAGTGGCCTCCAATTTACCACCAACAGAAGAAACCCCAAAGAATCCTAAAGATGACCTGGTGTGTTTTCATTCTAAAACTTGGGTCGTGATCCACCTGGCCAGCCTTCCCTAATCTGAAGTCTCCCAGATGTATTTCCTTGCCAGGTTGAGGAAAGTTTCACATGGCACTTCCATGTTCTGAAGAAGATGGCACTTTTCTGGTTGCACAGCTGTTCTAGGAGGCTGATGACCTGCTTTCCCCTTTTATGATAGCCAAGCTTCAGCTAGCCGCTATGGCTGCCTCATCATATGGCACTGAATACAGCAAGCCCTTTTCAGTCTATGCTCACTCACAGCCTACTCTGTTTTGCCTCCAGAATTTCGTGGTGTTGTTTAGTTGTTATAGTAACTGGCTCATACAGCTTAATTAGCCCTGACATGCTACTTCACATTTTTTTACTCAGAGCAACTCAGTGTCATTTAGATTTTATCCCCCCCCCCTCACTAAAAGGTTGCTTCAAAAGATGATAGTAAGCTATTTTATAGCTTTAAGCTATCAAACTTTAAGCTATTTTATACAATATCAAATCACACACACACAATAAGATGCAAGCACTGTAACATCTGTGAAAAATTGATGAAACAGTCTGAATATAAACAACCTGTGTAAGAGGCATATCTGAAAAATTGTAGAAGAACATGGAAACAGAATCTTTCATTTCTTAAAGCTTATCCAATTTTGTAGAGTATCATTTTTAAAATATGCTAGACCCTGTTCTTACCAAATTTTCTAGATAAAACCACAGACAAACCATCCAACCTGCATTGCAAAACTCATCTAAAGTTTCTCAAACATATTGCCATATTCATTGTAGAGATGTATTCTATAGATTACCAGAATGTATATGACGGTGAGCAGATCCTTGTGCTGTAGAAAAAATAATCTGAAATGAAGCCATCAAAAAGCACATTGACTGATATTCTGAAAACACCATCAGCCCTACAGTCATAGCTTATGAACAAGTGGAGAGACAGCTACTTTTCAGAGGTTGTGTCACAGAGTAATTTTAAGCTCTGGACTTGTTGTGGAGTGAGCTTTAGATGCTCCCCTTTCTTCAGAGGAGAGAAGTACACCCTCAAGTAGAGAACTGTCCTGTTTATTCTGCGATTTCAACTCTGGACCTCAGCCTTAAAAATTCTGATCCAGCTGCACCACTGCTTTTTCAAGGTGGTACCCTCAAGGCATGTTGTAATTTAAAGTCAGTATGGATGTAGTTTTTATTTTCTTAAAAATTAATCTTTGCTGAAACTGAAAGAAGCCTTTTCTATATTCTGATGAACTGCCCTATGTATCCTACCTATTACAAGTTCAGGAGCTCCAATCCCTTCTACCGTATCCATCTCTGTTCTGTTTTTTGGAGATCTCACATTCTAACAAACATTAGATCCTCTCCACTTTTTTCATTCATGAGAAGAACCTCTTATTTTGGTCTTACTATGCACAGAAACTATGAACAGCCAAGCAAAAGCTGTATAATTTTTGTCATTATTATTATTATTATTAAAATGGCTATCAATCATAGCTTGTGAAATACGATTAGCCATGGAAAAAAACTAGCAGGGAATGGTATGTGGAGAAAAACAGCATAGCAATTTGGGTCAATTCAGTTAGATAATGTTTCTACATTACTCTGTAGGGTATATCATAGGAATTCTGTTTATAAGCTTTATATACTTTTTTGTCTCTCTTTGTTTAGAAGGTGTAACAAAATAAAGTCCAAGGGCTCACCCCGATATTTCCATGAAGTGTCTTCTTCTCAAGACAGAGGAAAGAAGGGGAACAGGTGAGGGGGGTTAAGATCAAATGGGTGGATATTTTACTAAACTTCAATTTGTTTTTCTCTGTAAAATTGACATGTTTGTAGAAAATGCCTTATTCTAAAGTTATAACAAAAGAATGTTGATTTCAACCAATAAGCAATTTCAGACTCTGCAGTAGCTATGTTGGATATAAAACAATTATGTCAGGAACAAAATTGCTTCACGTACGTAGTAGGGTAGTATGGAGGATTTGAATGAGATGCTTTGCAAAGCGTATTAGCGGGAACAAAGCGCTTCTCTTTAAAGTGTTAAGGCAGTTGTGACTCTCCTGAGACTTGTGCAGTTTCAGAGGCATCCCAGAATGTCTGTGTGTACACACAAACAATGCTGCTGCTGGGAATGGCAGCAACGCAGTGCTGTGATGCACACACATGCTCGTGGAGAGAAGCAGAGATGACTTTTGAAGCAGGCACTTGAGCCAAGGTAGGGTTTTAGCAATTTGAAGAGAGCTCCTTGGTGCTAATGTGCTTTGTAAAGTGCCTCTTTCAAATGCTTCTCACAGTACAGTTCTCCTATGAATTTTCAATTAGGTGATATTTCTTTAAATGTAGCATTACAAGATTTATCATTAGTACTAAGATAATTTTGATAAGTATTTGCAGCTAAGAGTAGAATATTTATATTTTGCTTCCACTGCAGTTGTATTGTTATTAATTCTCTTCACAATTTATACATACTTTATGGTTACATATTTTTATGTGCATTTCATGGCAATTATGCATTTTATATGCATATTCATGTTTTTTTTTTAAGCCAGAGACTGCATTGCATTGAATTTATTCATTTTTTAATCTCCCTATAAGTAGTGAATTCAACTTTTTATTATAGGACGGTAGGGGCCTAAAATTATTGCTTGAAAGTTACTGTTATTTTTTTTTTTTAATGACATTCTTGTTAGCAAGCTAGTTACGTAAGGCTGGATGGAATATCTACAAGTAGTCCTTGCTTAATGTCCATTCGTTTAACAATGGTTTGGAGTTATGACAGCCTTGGAAAAAGTGTTTTACAACCTGTACTTGCGCTTACGACCATCACCAACTGTCGCACCCTCCCATGGTCACAATTTGTGACCCTTTTTACAATGGTCATTAAGTGAATCGTGTGGTCATTAAGCAAATTCTGGCAAAAACGTCCATTAGGGAAGCTGGATTTGCTTAACAACCATGTGATTCGCTTAACGACCATCATAAAAAAAGTAAAATCAGCTTGAGTCACATGACAATTTGCTTAACAACCAAATTGCTTAACGACCTAAATTCCGGTATCTATTGCTGTCGGATAGCGAGGACTACCTGTATTCAGTGAATCCTCTGGATCCATGTTTGCCTTGAACCATGAATCCCATCAATGCTTCTTCGTCAAAGTGGATTAAAGTATCATCATAAGGGGTGCACAGGGTCAGTAATCTTCCATTAAATGAGACTTTCATTAAGAGTTGGATGTCCAACTCTTCCAAAGATTGGAAAGTATAGCCAATACTTTAAAAGACTAGAAAGGACATGCAAAATGACCTAGAGAAATGGGCTGAAAATAACATAATTATTTAACAGAATAGGGAACAAAATTCTTCATTTATAAAACAAAAATCAAATGCACAAGTTTAGGATGGAAAATACTTGGCTTGACAATACTTTTGAAAAAGAACTTGTATTAATAGTTGACTGCAAACTGAATATAAGCCAGCAGTGCTATGTAGATACTGAAAAGAACCAAATGCACACTTAGATTACATGAACAGAAGTGGTTTCCAAATCCCAGAAAATAATACTTCTGACTTATTCTGCATTCTTCTGAATCCACCTTGAGAACTCTGTCATTTTGAACACTACACTTCCTGAAGGATTAAGGCAAAGTAGAACAGATTCATGAAGCCCTGTAAAGAGAGATTAAAGGATCCAGTCTGAGAAGAAAAAACAGATAGGGGACTTTTCAAGTGCCCAGAAGGATGAGATAAAAAATAATACTACAACTTGTTCTCTTTTTTCGCAAAGTGCTGGGCATGCAGTGATAGATAACTTACAAAAACACAGGTTGTAGTAGAATAGTAGGCAAAATCCAAATTTGTCAGTGCAGAAAAGTAGACTCTTCAGATGTCTTATTGATTGATAGATTATATGCCATCAAATTGTTTTCAACTCCTAGCGACTACATAGATCAATTTTTCCATGACAATCTGTCCCTGTTCTTTCAAGTCAGATGTCTTAACCCTTTTCCAGATCTGAATATATGAAAATCATAAGTAACCACAGTGAGTTTTAATAGAAAGAATTCATATTTTTAAGGTATATCTTGTTATTTTTTCTATTAGTATAGCTAGCACAGTGTGCATCTGCAAATCATACCTAATTTAACTTTGGAAATAATTTAATATCAAAACCTTTTGTATCAGGAAAATCAAGTGTAGCTTCATTAATAGGTATTAATTCATTTGGTATAGAAAAAAGTATTAAGGGATGGGTATTAAGATGAATGAATAATGATTAAATTACTCATTTTTCTTTAAAACTATGAGATACAATGTTCAGTTTCTGAAAGAAACCGTAATTAGGGGAATTTGCAAATTGAAATTAGCCTAGTTCTTCATTTTGTCATCAAATGGAGAACTTAATTAGCATTTATGCTATTCAGACTCTGAATTTAAATATAAACTAGAAAAAGGATTTAATTCACATTATTGTTTACATACAAAAAATCTGAACTGAATACTTTGAGAGTATGAATTTTTTTTTTTTCTTACAAACATCATATTGTAGAAAATAATGGGTGAAAAATCATTTTTTAACTTATTTCTAATTTATGTACATACTCGTCGCTGTTTAGAAGATACATTAATTCTCTTCATTACACTCTAACGAATGTGTTTTGAACACAGAATAGATAAATATGAAAATTATGGGCATATCTTAATTGCAACATTTAGCAGCCCTGAATTATCTTATGCATAATGCTTGTCAACACTTTGTGTCAGGAACATAAATTGCTTCTTCCTTTACAAAAAATTATACTGACTGCAAGCTCTTGCGATGAAGAAGCTGCTGCTGATCTTTTCAAGTCCTCTCAGAAGCAGGTGGATGCTTTCAAAAGTCCATAATCCAGTGTGTTATATATGCTCATTATAGTCTACTGGAAAAGTTCATCATGAACACTAATTTGGTGGAGATCTTCTCCCTGATATTCCAGAATTGCACAGTGAAATCTGGTGCATAATTAGGGGTACCAGATCATCTGGAGTTGACTTAGAGTTTTTGCTGTCATCTTGGGGTAACCTGGATTTTTGCAATCCACATCTGATAGTTCTACAGTAGGATAAAGAGTCAAACCAGCCTTTGGGATTATTTGTTTGTTTTTTTTAAATTTCCTTCACTAATGGGAAAATTTGTCAACTCAGGAGGCTTATTCCAGGATAAACGAGTGCTATAAACTTAGAAGCTTGAGTTTTTCTTGAACTCATGTGTTATCACTCATCTCACATCTATCTTGCTATAAGCAGATCCCCTATCCAAACTGAGGACTAGACAATCAGTAGAAGTGATATTATTTTTTGCAGTTGTTCATCTGCCATTCATTTTTTATATTGCCTCCCTTAATTTTTACATTGTCATATGAAAAGAAACTCCCAAGTTGCTGATTTGTGCAAGCTATTACCCTGTGATAAACATGATCGTGTGAATATGACCAAGAAAACAGTACAACCATACTTTACTGAACAGCTGCTTTGTAGTACTTGTTTCACTCTGCATGATGAAGTACACCATTTCCCCCCACTATGATTCTGAAATTGCTGTGACAGATTCTCTAGATTCAGTGTGGACATATTGTGGTCAATAAAAGCTACCATAAATGTGCTAAAATGGTCTGCAGGTTTTAATTGATCCCATAATTGTGCAAACATAAAATACACACATACAGTCCTCAGATAATGAGTTGAGAACTACCCATCACAACTGGTGGTATCCACAGGAGGGGGTCAAAACAGCAAGGTGGCAGTCGCGGCCATACAGTTGAAGCTCAACCCATTTTTACATGTATGTGACACTGACACATGTACAAAAGGGGTGGGCCTTTAATCATGTTGCCACAACACCATTTTGCCTGTCTTTTTTTTTTTTTTGGTTTTTTTTAGATTTCTTATCCCACCTGTCTTATTTTTATAAATAACTCAAGGCGGCGAATATACCAAATGTTCCTTCCTCCTCCTATTTTCCCCACAACAACAACAACCCCGTGAGGTGAGTTGGGCTGTGAGAGAGGGACTGGCCCAAAGTCACCCAGCCAGCTTTCGTGCCTAAGGTGGGACTAAAACTCACCATCTCCTGCTCTCTAGCCTGGTGCCTTCACTGCTGGATGAAACTGGCTCTCTGTTTTTTGCCTTTTGATGCACACACCTCACAGTTACCACTGCAGTCATCTTAAGGGAACATGCAACTATAGAATATGTTATTAAAGTAGCCACACTTGAAAACCGCAGGAGTCGTACAGTGGCAACTGATACAAGAAGTACACGGTTCCTGTTCCTGCCTTCAGCAGGAGATGACCGCTGCTCCTTTCTGTGTTATCAGCATGAGCGGGTCTCTTTCAGCATCTCAACTGAACCGTCTATGACTGGGATCACAGTTGGCATTCACAGATTATTTTAAACCATGGTTTGTTGACTAAGCCACAGTTGTATGTGTTTGCATAATATTCTAACAAAACCAGACCAATTGCATTAGGGCTTAGTATGATTTCTTCAGCAGGAGATGACCGCTGCTCCTTTCTGTGTTATCAGCATGAGCGGGTCTCTTTCAGCATCTCAACTGAACCGTCTATGACTGGGATCACAGTTGGCATTCACAGATTATTTTAAACCATGGTTTGTTGACTAAGCCACAGTTGTATGTGTTTGCATAATATTCTAACAAAACCAGACCAATTGCATTAGGGCTTAGTATGATTTCTGAACCCAGTCTTCATCTAGATTCAG